TTGTTGCTTAATGGTTCGTTTGGACATGTATTGTGGTTTTTTCTTTTAATTAGGTGATTCGACCACGAGTAAGGGGTTTGTAAAGGACCTTAGCCTTGAGCATTATACATGAAGAAACCGGAACCACCCTCGATGAAAAGAACCAAAAATCCCAAAAGAAGAACCATAAATTCAAGTCGATGACCAACGACAAGAAGAACAACACCAACAACTCGAAGTGCCATCTAGAAGGCCGAGAGACCGAGTCTAAAAGGTGATGTCTCGGCTTTGGGAGGGCCATTTCTCTATCCCTTTCTTTTTATCTTTTCATTTGAATAATAATCTATTTAGGATGTTAGTAGTATGTGTGTGTTTTTGTATTTCAGTACTTAGTAGGACTCCTTATTTAAATAATTAGTACTTTTCATTTAATTTTATCATTTTGTGGATGTGATTGATCTTTTTCTTAGTTCTTTTTCTTGTGGATGTTTCTCAACAATCGATACCACCCACCAAACCCTTCTATCCCACAATCAAGTCGGCATCAAAAAAATCGGTAACATCGTTCCCCTATCTTTCACTTGGAGCCTTGTATGCATACCCAAAAAATTTCAAATTTGAGCGCTCCAAGTTGGCTCCTATACATCCACCTACTCATTTTGCTTAGAATTGTTAGATGATTGGATGGTGTGTTTTATAGGGAGTAGTGTATCACTATGAGGATTGTCAATGTATGAGGGGTTTTACCTCTATTTCCTCTTTGATGTGTTGATATTGTTTACCATCCAGGTTGTGACATGTGTGTGGGACTCTCTACCCAATCTTGGACTAAAAAATGTTTGTAAAACATGCTTAATTTGAAAAATCTTTTGAAAAATAAGTGTCCTCGCGTGAGAGGCAACGTGGCATAGTGTTTCAGTTAAGCCGTTAATGGGCTTTTCTCTCACGAAGGAGTGCCATTTGAGGATGTGTTTGGGGATCATATAGATTTCTAGCTTCCCGAACATCATTAACTATTTTCCATCGTCCATACACCCGTCTTCCTAAGGAACTTGCATGATAAGAAGAAAGTGAGCCTTTAAGCAAGTCAATGAGACCTCCGGCTCTCGTTTGTATCCACATACGTATCAACTCGTCTATCATTGAGACGAGGAGTTCAGGATGGGAAGTGGTGCTTGTGGAAATGAACCAAACCATCGCATTCCCTATATGAGGCTTTAATAGAGAAGGCAATTACTTATGCTCTTAGCCCAAGCAAGATATGCGTTAATTTTCAAATTTTCAAATGTGTTGTGCCATGCACGGCAAAGTTTAAGTTGTGACTTGAAAATTTTAGTACTTATTTGAAAAAGTAGGAGCACCACCATGGAGTTCTTTGCTTTTCATGTTTTCTTAAGAATCCCCCGGTGCATTTGTAAAATGTCTAGACCTCCTTTGTCGAGAAGGACCCCATCAGAGAGTGTGTTTCACGAAGAGATGGAAGTAGCTTTCTCCCGTCTCTGATTGTATTTGAGGTACTACGAACGAATTATAGTTTATGCCATTGTACGTTTCTTGCATTTGTTGCACTTGTGTGAGTTAGGTTCGTTTGGGGATAAGCAAACATAGAAATGTGGGGGATCATTTTGATTCGAGCGCATTTAAACATGTTTTACCCCTTCATATCTTGATTGTTTGACTTGGTAATCCTTTTCCTTCACCTATTTTATGCTAGGTTGTGCTTCTTTTATCACATTTCAGGACGCAGTACGTGTGGGAAGGTCGAGGTCGAGTTTCGGGACATTTTGGAGGTCAAAACGAGCCAAACAGTGGAGGAGATGCAAATATCATGTGTTTGAGTTGAAGATCAAGGGTGTGGGCCATGAACTATGCAAGCAGGTTGTGAAGTCTGCAAGGTTATAGAGGTATTCTCATAGTTCGCGGGCAGTGTAGAGATCACGGTCTCGGACCATGATCTTTTCAAGGAGACCGTGAAGTTTTGCACAAAACATGACATTTCTAGCCGAGATCACGGCTTGGATGTTGATGTCACGGTCGTGACCTCTAACCGTGAAATGTGCACTCGAGGCATATAAAGAACTAGTTGCAGGGAGAAAGAAAGGAGCTTGGTCTTTCTTTAGGGTTCTAACCCAAAAATACCAAAAAGGAATTTTGAGAGAAAGAGAGAGAGAGAGAGGGATCTAGAGTGAGCTTGGAGCTAAATTGAAGGCTTTGATTGAGTTTTGTGTAAATCAAGCCTAGAAGATGAAGATCTTCTGCTTCTTGTTGTATTCTCTCTTGTCTCTATGAATTAGCTCTCTTCTCTTACGATGATGAGCCCTAGATCTAGATTTTGGTTTGATTGTTGATGTATGTGACATATCCTAGGATTATGAACTCCCATTATCTATGTGACTGATGTTTATGATGAATTGCATGAGTCTTTACACCTCTTCCTGTCAATTGAGATTTTGACCTAGGACTAGGAGGGAGAATGTCCTCTTAGGTTGAATAGAGCACCTTCAATACTTCATTATAGGTCTTTGGTAGGAAAGTAATAAGTTCGATAGTGTCGTATTGGATAGTGTTGTGTCGGGTTTTCCCAATCGTGGGAATTAGCGGTTAGCACCTCAATTGCCTTTGTCGGTTCTTCGGTACGCCTCTTTGGGTAGCGCATTGAGTGGGGTTGGATGCACTCAAATAGGGGGTCCAACCTAGTCTAGTATAATTCGTGGTAGAAATATCGAGTCGATCAATCTAGCATAGTACTCAACATGGGTCCAAATGACATAGCTAGGTCTAAGAGAGCTCCCAACACTTGTAATTAACTAGGATAGTAGTTAGGTTAGTGTAGTTAATTTAGTCTTAATCACTATTCTTGGTTGGCTAGATAACGAAACTTAAGCATAAGTAAGGTACATCTAGAGACACGTGGTTCAATAATTTAATTACTTGCTTGCTCTATGTTACACCCAATCGTTGGTTATACTTGGCTTTTGATTGGGAAGTTGTAATTAGAGTCGAGTCAGTCGTAATAACTCTTCAATGAAATACTTTTGAATTTGAAAAATAATAATTGTTTATTTTGTAACCACTAATTTTTTATTTATGAATAGCAGGGTAAGACCCCGACGAATGACTAATGTGTAAATGTTTGCTTCAATCAATGGAGTGCATTTGTACATGAGTTCCAAAATTTGGATAAAGCAGGAGAAGATGACCTTACCTAAGTCACTAAGCGGAGTCAGCTCAGACCTACCAGACAAGCGAATCTTGCAATGCTGGCTAAGGGAGGGTGGAGGCTTCTCAAGGAGAAAGATAATTTTTGGACCCAGCTTATGTACGCGAAGTATGGGCGCCAAAGGGAGAATCTCGACATACTCCAACATAGTCAGGAAAGTTCCTCTACCTGGAGTAGCTTCTCGAAAGTTGCTACCCTTATGAAAAAAGAGTGTGCATGGAATATTAAGAATGGGAAATTCACTAAATTTTGGCTTGATCCTTGGTTGTTGCAGGTACCTCTTAAAGATATGGTGGTCGACCTGAACCCAAAGACAAGGAAGTTATGGTGGTCGCGGACTTTGTAAGGGATAATGGAAGCTACAAATTGGACTTGTTCGAGGAGCTCCTCCCCCAACTATCACCAAGAGGATCCTTAGTGTGGCGGTGGACAAGCTATCCACGGAAGAGGACACCATCTTCTGGGCTGCTTCTTTTGACGGAAAGTTCTCCACAAACATGACCTACAAACTCCTCAAGGACCATCTCCAAGGCCCCAGTGAGAGAATTTGGAAGGATTCCGACTAACAAGCTGCGACACTCAAGGCGTGTAGCTGCTGATCCTTTCTGCATCATATGTGTGGGGCAACCAGAGACAATCATTCATGTCCTTGATTTTCCACCAGCTTTATTCTTTTGGTCTAGACATGTGTCGAACCCTCTTCATCATACCTTCTTCAGTTCGAGTCAGGAGAGATGGCCCAGGGAGAATGATCCGAGCTCCAATGTTATGGGAAGTGGCATGGAGTGGGTTGCCATCTTCAGCACTACCATCGAGCTTCTTTGGAAGAACCAGAATACAGCCTATTTCAAGGGGATGAGTGCTACCCTTTCTCCGCACTCCCTTGAATACTCTATTATGACCAAGACAAAGTTTTGGCATGAAACTTGGCATGCTCCTAGCCTTCTTCATAGCAACATGTCTACTCATGCAGAGCGTGTAATGGCAAACATTGCTTGGTGCCAAAAACTTAAACAAATGTATTATCCCAAAAATCATGCTTATAATTTTATAAATATATTTGATTGAAAAATTTAATCGTTCTATTTGTTATCATCAAAAGTTAAATCCTTCACATGTAGAGGAATTTTACCATGCTCATAACCAGTGCTTCCAGATTCAAGTTGAATTCGTACAATGACATTGAAGGTACGATAAAAAGTTTTTTTTAATGATAACACCGTAACTTGTAAGTATAGTAACTAAACTTCGCATATCGTATTCTATCTACCTATCATTCTTGCGAACATTGTGAAGTCCGTGCACAAGCTAAAACCTCATATGAATGATTTGGCGTTGGGCTTTTATCAGTCGAGACTATGAATTGGGGTTTTGGTAGAGGTGTTTGTGGGTCAGAGACTATCCGATTATGAATTGAAGATGTGCATGTGCTGAATTCAAACTGCCGGTACGGTATTTCAATCTTTGTTTGTGAGTTATTTGGGTTCAAATAACTAGTTTGAGAACATTTTACTGAAATAAGTTATTTGGTGATATACTCGGTTAGATAATATGCATTACTCGAATGGCCTGATGAGATAACATACTGCAAAGTATTATTCGTTATCAGCAGACGGCTTGGCAAATGCTGGGAAAGTATATAGCTCAAATGCTAAGAAACAGAATTCTTGAGACAAATTTTCTCATCCGAACCTGCAGCTCAGGCACACTCCCACAGGCCACAACAACCAAGAAACCCACATAGCCAGAAAAAGGTAGGCCAACTAAAAAGTATTCAAACAACTAAATTATCCTTTTCCCCTCGCGTATAAGTTTTATATTCGAATGACACCAAAGAGGTGCTAATAGAAGCAATCTTTGAATCAACAAGTTTAAATTTCCTGTTATAGTAGATGGGTAATCTACAGTAGAAAAATAAAGGAGATTAACCAAACTGTGAACCAGCGTAACACAAGATCAAAAGCCAGTTCCAAACTGCTGACTTCGGATTAGTTCATACGAAAGCAGAGGCATGACAAATTATCCTCGTTACTATGAATGATCCTTCTGCCTAGCAAGCTTTCTTAACGACTTTTCAGGAAGATTCACTAAAACTCAACATTTTCAACACATCTAGGCAGTAGTCGCCAAACTGAAACGCAGGTAAGCAAAACAAACCTAGGGCATCAAGTGTAGAGCTCGGAATCAAAAGCATGATCCTTGATCAGGGTTTTCCTCGAATGCTTGTCTTCGATGCCAGCTGTTGAGCTCAGGTCAAATCCATGCAATACCTTCTTCTGCAACAGTGACCTAACCAGAGCTACAACTGCACTGCCATGGTCAGGCCATGAAACACACAGAGTCCCTCTGATGTTCCTTATCTGGCATTGAGTCAATAGTGCAGCTGCCAAGCCATCAACCATGCTCCCGGATGGAAAGTAGTCGACTCCCTCCAGTAAGGATGACGCTCCACTTTCCGACCCGTTTCCTCTCTCTGCTAATGTCTCCAGCTTGAATGCATAAGTCTCGTCTGGTGATAGCTTCCCACGGAAATTCTGGCTCTGAACTGAACCCAAAATCAGAACCCTCTCGGGAATGATTTGGTTACCAACAAGCAGTTTTGCAACTATGTTGGACCTCTCAGCACTCACAGAACACTTGAGGGAGACAAGCAGAGTCGAATTTGCAGCATCATTGAGCGCATAGATATTGCAACACTTGTCGGCAAGAGTTGGTTCGATAGAGTTGCCTGAGAAAGGGATTTCTGGTAGTATGAGGCTTCCGATCAGAATCTTATTGCACATATTATGGAAGAGATAGCAAGATGGAGACGATAATGTAATGATCAGAAGAGATGGGCGCAGTGGTTCAGTTTTAGGATCAGAGAACAAGAGGAAAGGGGACGGAAGAGGCTGCGATGGAGGAGCAAAGTTATTCAGATCTTCCTGAAAGAATCTTGAAGGCGGTGGGATTTCTGTAATGACATCTTCCATGTCTCTAGAGAACCTGTTGTGAAAAACAAATAAATAAAATCATCGTTTCTTTGGTTAATTTGCATGACTGCTTCGCTTGCAACTTGAATATGTAGTGATAGTTGAGTTATTTCATATCCACATATTAGAATGCACCAAATGTCAAAAGAAAATCAACAAAAGGACACTGACTACAGCAAGTAGCATAAAGGACATCAGTTACGCATGCTGACTAGCAAGGTAAGAAGAGTGAACAGATGGAGGAGCATTTGACAATAAAGGGATCATTTTCTGGTCTCAATTCAATAAATCAGTTTCACTGCAGAGGCATGGAAATGACCGATATTAAAATCTTCAATTCTTCTTCCAAACCTTTTCAACACAAATTGAAATTACTAAGGTATTACATCTTGAGGGGTTCCACTTATCTCAAGATGTAAAATGGTCTCTGGCTGGCTGTAGAGCAAGAACATATAAACATCTGCAACTGCAAATGGCTTGTGCACAATTCGAAATAACCATATGAAAATCTCCCAATGGAGAGAATAAATCATTAAAGTCAAGCTGGTGCAAGCCATCTCATGAAAGATGAAATAGATTGAACATTCACAACTCGTCATACTTTAAGACTTCCCATCAATAGCACATCAACAAAACACTCATTTCAACTCTAGCAGCTGAAAATGCGCAACATATCATCAATTTAAGGAATAAGTATTCCTAGAAAATATAGGTAACAAGAGTCTGGATGTGAAGCAAGCATCCTAAGTCACTGAAACTACAGAGGACGAATTCAAGCATTAAATATGCCACAGAGTCTCACTTTTAGAGCAACCCAGGCACCACCAGAGTATCCTCTTCAGTCCAAAAGTGAAATTCAGTCCACCGATTAACTAACGATGAAATGACCACAAGGTTATTCTAAAAGTAAAATGCCCACAATGTTCATCCAATAAGACGGACATCATTATTTGATTGAAGCAGGATCTGAAATTACGATTGCTGCCTAAACTACAGTCAAGAACAGAACTTTAAGCTCATTCACTAATCCATGGAGGACTAAAAACCTAGACATTAACGTGATGGTTCCAGGCAAAAATGGAAGTGGTAAAGTTCCGCTCACAATATCACAGCACCTATTCGTCAACAACCCGACACGACCCCACCGCAAAGAATCAATTCGTCAAAATACACTCATAGAACAAAGAAGCAGAAACGAATACGAGAAGTACGATCAAGAAATCCAGAGTCTAGAACCAAAGCGAATGTAGAAGATGGCGAAATAGGACGAACCTAACCTTCTGACCTAAAAGTAGTAGCGAGATTGATCGAGATCGCAACGAGAGAAGAAAGCAGCAGTGGTCCTTTGTTTTGCTGTATATCTTCGGGCTCAAGCTGCTGGAATCGAGTAGCCTCAAAGGGAATAGAACGACCGATTAGTAAAAGGCTAAAAGCTAAGTGAGGGGATGTGATACACGGTCACATCCCTCAATAGGATTGTGAGTATAGGTGTCAAAATATGATCCGACTCGAGTAATCCGCCTAATCAAACCGATTCGTGACCCGTTCTCAATTCGATTGGACTAAAAGCTAAAGACCTGCAACCCGCCCGACCGACAACCCGATTGACCCGCAACCCGCTTGATCGAATGACTCGCAACCCGCTTGACCCGAACCCGATTGATCGCAACCCGCTTGACCCGAACCCGATTGACCCGCAACCCGACTAACCCGAACCCGATTAACCCAACCCGAACCCGCCCGATTGGCACGAATCATACTACATAATATATTTTGGTGCATAAATATTATATGTAGATAATATATATATATATATATATATAAAGTTTACGTGACTTATCCTATTAATTTTTCATCTTTTCCACCAAGAACAAAGGTTTACTTTGTTTTGACAACTGCCATTAAACACAATAGTCTCACACTCTCACTATCTCAGTAGATAAGTAGAAATCCTAGGAGGATTATCAACATTTTACATTTGGTTTATATATATATATAACACATACATATGAAAAACATGATTTTACATTTGGTTACAACTTACAAATTACAACATGTATTTATAAATAATAAATCATTGAGACACTTTAATCAAAATCTAAAAGGAATTGAGTTAGGAATCTTAAGATTAGGACTTATGTTCTTCACAATAATATAGAATTTAAAATTTACTCAACCTATGTTCTACCACCAATTTCATGACATGTAAGTATGTAACTAGAGTTCAGGTTTTAAGATTAGTGTATAGGGTATACGGTCGATGGTTGTGGTTTAGAGTTATTAAGATTAGGACATATGTTCTTCCCAATAACCAAATATAAAATTGACTTAACTCACATTCTTCAAATAACATACTATATAGTTTATATCAACAATTTCATAAGATATAACTATAGTTCATGGTTTAAGGTTAGTGTATAGGGTATAGGGTCATGGTTTAGAGTTAAGTGTTTGGGCTATGGACTTACGGAACGGTTAAGGGTTGAGGTTAGTTTTAGGGTTGATTACTTAATGTTGTGGTTTGGGATAATGTATGGTTGGTGGTTAAGTTTAGTTTTAGGTTTTAGATTTACAATGGTGTTATAGGGTTAGGGTTTAGGGTTTCTTCATGGTTATGCTTTACGATAGATATTTTGATTTTTATAATTTATTAATTAATTTGATTTTAATGATTAATTTAACTTGTGAATGTACAAACTAGTTAATCGATATAAAATTTACCATCCATAGGCTATAATAATAAATATAAACAAAAGGAAGAACTAGATGTTGAGGGAAAATTTTTGAATGCAAAATTCAAAGCCCCCAAATATTTGCTCAAAAGGAAGAACTAGTTTTGAGCTTTTTTGCCGAGGGAAAGAAAGTTGTGAGAGATAGACATGATGGTGGGAATTGTGAATGTTCGGTTTCTAATTTATAGTAGGTGAGAGGTGAGATCTGATTGGTGGTTCCCAATTGGTGCGGATTCATGACGTGGATAGCACAGCCTGTTGGATGGAGGGGTTCATGGATGGACGGGTAGGATTTATTTGTTGTTAAGAGGGCTTTAGAAATTTTGGGCGCCTTTAACCAGTGCGAATTAGAATTTCGTGGAGAGATATTATTTGTTGACAGAGGTGGAGCAGGATTGATGCCGTGGATGATCTGAATAGTTGGATTAAGTGGGGGGTTTTGAGCATAGTAAAATACGGTACGAGAAAGTTATGTATAAAATACGTACGGGTATTTTACTTCGTCTCTATGTAAATGTTGCGTTTAATAATACATTAATAGTCATAAATAATATTAATTATTTTAAAAATAATGAATAAATAAATAATATTAAAATTAATAATTTAATTCATTAAATGCAGATATTAAACGTGTTATATGGGTTTTATACGTGTTAAATATGGGAGCCATCAAATGAATGGAAAAAAATGAAATGGCTTGACAATAATACAGATACGTAAGTTTTAAACGGATAAAATATGTACGAGTACATATACGTGTATTAAACGGAGTATTTACTAACTATAGTTTTCAGCAATCACACGAATTGAAGTGCTCTTTGTGAGATTAAACTCAGTAGCATCTAACTTTCATGATGCTTGAAAATCTCGTGTTGGGGATATGCCAATTAGTGGGTTTATGATCAAGCAAGTTGTCAGCTTTTTAATATCTTGTTGCTCAACTATTTATTTATGTTGGTTATGTAACCTTAATGAATCCTCTGCAAGGTACCAACAACTAGCAACATCAAACTTGTTCATGATATATTCAAGCAAAATCTAGTCACTTATTTGTTTAATAATGTACCTTCATGTTTTTTTATTGCAATATGGCGATCGGTGAGTTTATTTTAAATTAGTGTAATAACTAATTATAAAAAAAACTCGATGGTTTGGACCGAACAACCCGCAACCCGACCTGTTGTAACCCGCAACCCGTAACCCGACTGATCCGCAACTCGATCAACTCGAACTCGCTTGACCCACAACCGGATTAACCCGCGACCCAACTGAACCCGACCCGAACCCTTCCGATTGACACCTATAGTTGTGAGTTTCCCAACCAAAAGCAATTTGGGAAGGGCAAAAATGAGTCTTATTAATTATTTTTCTTTTTATATTTATTAACTAGATTGTGGCCTAGACGATTGGCCGAGTAGGGTTTTTTTTTTCATTTTTAAGATTAATGTTTCAACTTTCAAATGATAATTTTTTCAGTTACCACTCAATACCATTTCTTCATTGAAGTTATGACAAAATTATTACAGCTTGACAATTTAATTAAAATATGTAGAATCAAAACTTAGATGGCCTGAAAATTAGTTTTATTTTAATTAGGAAAAGTCTTATTCACCCCTCCTTAAATGGCTATCGTTGCGTAATTTTTTAAATGGAGAGAATAAAATCTTTAAACCTTCATGTATTCTCAATCCCCGCATCATTTGGCTTCCTGTCCTAGAAATGATAATTGAATCTGCATTCACGGGTACCTAACCTTTTCCAATCCGCTCAAAGAGGGTAAAATCCATCGTTGGCGGGTTTTGAGTCTAGTGTTGGTAAAATTTGGTTTTCGAATTTTTGGATTGAGTGTAGCTTTAACTAATACTCGACCTACTTTCCACTTGACCGACTCTCAAAAAGAAAAGGAAAACGTCCTTTTGCATCTAACCCTAATACTATGAATAATTTTACGGATGTTATTAGATTTTATGTCAATATAGTTATGGTAATATGGACAATTACTGATGCTAATATTCTTTGTAGCAATATATTTTAGAATTTATAAAAGAACATAAGGATGTGGACTTTAAGCACCCGTGAATATTATTAGTCTTTATTGCAATATAGCTCTAACTATATGGATAATTATTAATGTTATTAGTCTTTGTTCGTGATTATTTTTGCAAACCCAATAATATCCATGCACCATATGAGCTAGCTTAAATAATTAGAAGTCAATCCAACTCGAATTGAATGAGTGGAAATTACATATGTATAATCAAGGACACTTTGATGTAGGCGACGATGTACTTGATTTAGTACCACTGCTAAATATTTTTTTTATAAAAATTATGCATTAATCCATTGTGATAAAAGTATAAGGAATTCCTACAATGCTATGAAGTAAGGTAACTTATTTTTATAAAGTATAACAAAATTTACGGGTTGTATTACGTAAAATGTAATAGGCATATGTAATGGTTAAATATTGTATGCTTATATTATTTAATTGTTATGTAATTAGAACACATATTTTTTCATATAAATTCCAAATCAGTTTTTAGTTAGTATGATCAAAATAGCTCACATCAATTAGTCAATATCCAACCTATACACATTTTAAATTATGGAAATAATAATCTCCAAAACATATCCTAATCAACTACAAACCCTCAAAATCCATATATTTCACTCATATCCTACCCATACTCCATGTAGCAATATATATTGCATTCTAGATACGGGATGAATGGGATCAAATAAAAATGGGTGAGATTAACAGTAGAGAATGTAACCTGATAAATTTGTTTATTTATAGTAAATATATTCATTTTCCTAGTAAACTTGCTTTATAGCTATTTAATTATTATTTTATAAAAAGAAGGATATCTACTCCCGGAGCCAGAGACGAAAAGGTAAAAAAATAAGGAATTGGGGTGGAAAGACTGTTTGGCCCATCCGAACTATGCGGATTGGCGAGCAAGCGCTGACGAGTAAAAAGGCTTATGTTGACATTGCCTTATTAGTTTTTGTAGATAGATTACATTTTGGGAAACTAAAAGTCTAAAACCATATTAAATATATTATTTTATTTTAAAATTTAAATCTTACCACAAATACATTTCTCTCCCTTCCTTTTCTATCAGCCACTCACTCCGATCTGCTGATTTTCTCCGACCAGCGGACCTTCTCCGGTGTAATCCTTCAATTATACTCGCTCCGGCCACCTACAAAAAAAATATCACTCCATTAGTGCGCTAATGGTAATAATTTTTGTCTAGTGATACATAAAAACTACCACTGGTAGTGTACCAGTGAGTACTAGTATGCTACCACTAGTCACTTGTACGTACTAGTCACGGGTACGTACCAGTAGAGACTATCACTAGAGACTAACACAAAAAATCAGATATGTAATATGAAAAATCACAAATCTTAAAAAAAAATAGAGATAAGGAAAGGGGGGAGGCAGGGAAGAGTCAGTAACCTCGCGACGGGGGGCGCGGCGGGGGCGCAGGGACGACATGGAGCGCAGGAGCGGGAGGGGGGGGCAGCATAGCACAGTAGGGGTCGGGACATCAGGCGCGGCGAAGGCCGGAGGGTGACGGCGAGCACGACAGAGGAAAGAGCAAGTGAAGTGGCGGCAGCCACAACGTCCACGGAAGAGAGGGAGGAAG